CCCAGTGGGCCGGTGGAATGCCAGTGAAGAGCCTGGCAGGTATCTGGCTGTGTTTGGGGAACTACTGACTGAAACCACCTGCCCCGGCCAGGCACGATAATAACAATTTGCATGAGTTATCTTACAACAGGAGGTCCTGGTAAGGGACTTGGAACTAACAAGCTACCACCTATCAGAAGAATTCTGGAAAGGTCAAAAAGAGAGAGGAGACACCAGTCCATATGTCCTACCAACCTCCCAGAATCCATCTTGGTTGAGCGATACACACGCCAACAGGAAGGACCCTGAGTCAGAATGATTGTCCAGAGACAACCCAGAAACGAACCCCATTACCATAAAACCTGAGACTGCGGGCCATGTGGCAGAGCAGTTCTCCCGGGTTCCCTTACCCTGCTGCTCTCCGCCTGGGCACCCCTTCCCAATAAAGTCTCTTGCTTTGTCAGCACGTGTGTCTCCTCAGACAATTCATTTCTGAGTGTTAGACAAAAGCCCACTCTAGAGCCCTGGAAGGGGTCTCCCTTCCTGCAACAGGTGCACCAGGGATCAACCATGGCAGAAGTGGTGACAGACCCCTAACATGAGACAACAGAGACCAATGGGCGTGGGCAACCCAGTCAAAGCAGCATCTCTGTTGTCTCAGTTAGCTCCCGCTGTGTAACAAATCACAAACGTAAAACAACCCCTGTCTGTTACCTCACAGTTCTCTGCTTGAGGTCTGACAAGGCCAAAAGCAAGGTTTGGGCCAGACAAAGCTCTTATTTGGAGTCTTTAGGGGAGAGTCCACCTCCAAACTCATTCAGGTTGTTGGCTAGATTTGGTTTCTTGCGGTTGTAGGGCTGAGGTCCCCATCGCCTTGCAGGCTGTCAGCTCTCTCTGTTCCTTCCCCTCCATTTTCAAGCCAGCTATAGCACGTCAATTCCCCCTTATGCCTCAAATCGTTTTTACTTCCTTTCTGCCCCAAGACAGAGAAAACTCTCTGCTTTTCAAAGAGCTCAGGTGGTTATACTGGGCTCACCCAGGTAGTTCAGGATAATCTTCCTATTTTAAGGTCAATTGTGCTGTATAGTGTAACACAATCAAGGAAGTGATATTTCATCATATCCACAGGTCCCAGGAGTTAGGGTGGAATGTGTTTGCGGGAAGGGTATCTAGAAATCCCTCCTCCCATAGTAGGGCTGCATGGCTAGTCAGGGTCTCAGTTTGGTTTCAAAGGCCGTGGGGGGTGGGTGCAGTCCCTACTTCATACCAGGTGGCAACAGGCAACCAATGATAATCATTCATTTTTTAAAAAAGATTTATTTTTTATTTTTGGCTGTGTCGGGTCTTAGTTGTGGTGCGCGGGCTCTTCCTTGTGGTGCGTGAGTTCCAGAGTGCGCGGGCTCTGTAGTTTGCAGCACGTGGGCTCTAGTTGAGGCGCGCAAGCTCAGTAGTCGTGGCATGCAGGCCTACTTGCCCCACGGCATATGGGATCTTAGTTCCCTGACCAAGGATTGAACCCGCGTCCCCTGCATCAGAAGGCGGATTCTTTACCACTGAACCACCAGGGAAGTCCCAGTCATTCATTCTTAATCACATATATCCCTCAATGGGGAAGGACTGTCAGAAATATTGAGGAAAGGAAATGTGTAAAAGGATTGAAATTCCTGATAATAAAGCAGCTATTATAATTAGATTGTCCACATGATTTCTGTCCTCGCAGATAGGTTACACTCGCTATGCACTTGTGCATTCAACCGCGCACTAGAACATCAATTTGAATATCACTTAGATACTTAAAATCATCACGTCCCAAACTGTGTTCATCAACTTCCCACAACTCCCCTCCTTCCAGTTACTCTACTTATGTAATCCCTGTTCTATCCACCCTCAAAGCCCGTGGAGCCAGAGGAAGCAGTTGGCCAGAAGCCACACTGCTGAGCTAAGCATTTGGGACAACACTTTTATTATTATTTTTATCATCTTTATTGGAGTATAATTGCTTTACAGTGTAGTGTTAGTTTCTGCTGTATAACAAAGTGAACCAGCTATATGTATACATACATCCCCATATCCCCTCCCTCTTGCATCTCCCTCCCACCCTCTCTATCCCACCCCTCTAGGTGGTCACAAAGCACCGAGCTGATCTCCCTGTGCTATGCGGCTGCTTCCCACCAGCTATCTGTTTTACGTTTGGTAGTGTATATATGTCAATGCCACTCTCTCACTTCTTCCCAGCTTACCCTTCCCCCTCCCTGTGTCCTCAAGTCCATTCTCTAGGTCTGCGTCTTTATTCCTGTCCTGCCCCTAGGTTCTTCAGAACCTTTTTTTTTTTTTAGATTCCATATATATGTGTTAGCATACAGTATTTGTTTTTCTCTTTCTGACTTACTTCACTCTGTATGGCAGATTCTAGGTCCATCCACCTCACTACAAATAACTCAATTTCGTTTCTTTTTACGGCTGAGTAACATTCCACTGTATATATGTGTCACATCTTCTCTATCCATTCATCTGTTGATGGACACTTAGGTTGCTTCCATGTCCTGGCTATTGTAAACAGTGTTGCAATGAACATTGTGGTACATGATTCTTTCTGAGTTCTGGTTTTCTCAGGGTATATGCCCAGTAGTGGGATTGCTGGGTCATATGGTAGTTCTAATTTTAGATTTTTAAGGACCTCCATACTGTTCTCCATGGTGGCTGTATCAATTTACATTCCCACCAACAGTGCAAGAGTGTTCCCTTTTCTCCACACCCTTTCCAGCATTTATTGTTTGTAGATTTTTTGATGATGGCCATTCTGACCTGTGTGAGGTGAAACCTCATTGTAGTTTTGATTTGCATTTCTCTAATGATTAGTGATGTTGAGCATTCTTTCATGTGTTTGTTGGCAATCTGTATATCTTCTTTGGAGAAATGTCTATTTAGGTCTTCTGCCCATTTTCGGGTTGGGTTGTTTGTTTTTTTGTTATTGAGCTTCATGAGCTGCTTGTATATTTTGGAGATTAATCCTTTGTCAGTTGCTTCGTTTGCAAATATTTTCTCCCATTCTGAGGGTTGTCTTTTCACCTTGTTTACGGTTTCCTTTGCTGTGCAAAAGTGGGACAACACTTTTATGAAGGTCATTTCCTTACTTTCTGTAGTTTTACCCCTATGTATACATAATGGGAGGGCCACAAGGAAACTTTGTGGAGTTCTGGAAATTTTTTATATTTGATCTGGGTGTTGACTACATGGTACACATGTAAAAATACATTGAACTTAAGATTTCTGCACTTTACTGTCCTTTATTTGTATTATTATTATACATATTACATCCGTATATATTACAAGCGAAACAACACATTGTCACTATTACTTTATATAATTTTACAACCTTTAAAGAAGATGAGAGAAGAATGGAGAGTAAATATATGTATTTAGAGTTTGGTTTTCTCTCTTCTGTCTTTTCCCCTTTATATTCACCTTCTACTCTGCAATAACTAAAGTGCAATTTGCCCACACCAGTCACCAGCTAAAAACTTACTTCCAGCCCTTAAAGGCAGCACGCAATGTCTTACACATCCATCCCTCGTGTCTCTCCAGCGTCATTTCCCACCACTCCCTGTCTTACACACCTTCCCTACACACACTGTTTGCTCACCTCCCTGACTTTGCTGAGGCTGTTTCTCATGCCCAATTGCTCTTCCTAGCAACACTCCTCTTCTCCTCCCGTTTTAGTTGGCTCAGGTTGCCATAACAAAATACCATAGACCAGGTGACTTAAACAGCAGAAATTTATTTTCTCACTGTTCTGGAGGCTGGAAGTCCAAGATCAAGGTGCCAGTATGGTCGGGTTCTGGTGAGAACTTTATTCCTGGCTTACAGACAGCTGCCTTCTCTCTGTGTCCTTACATGGCAGAGAGAGAGAGGGCAAGCTCTCTGGTGTCTCGTCTTATAAGGACACTGATCCCATCATGAGAGCCCCACCCTCATGATCTCATATAAACCTAATTACCTCCCAAAGGCTCCACATCTAAACACCATCACATAGGGGTTAACACATGAATTTAGAGGGGACAGCATAGCACCTTCTTTACGTGGCTAACTCCTACCTCTTGTTTTAATTCAACTCAGGCAGCACTTCCTCAGGAAATCCTTGACTAACTACCCCATATCGTCCCACCACCGCACCCTAAGGTGACAAAGTGTGCTTTAATAGAGTCTCGTGTTTACGTCTTTCGCTGCACTGTCTCTTCATCTTGTAGTTATGTTTATGGTCTGTTTCCTCAGTAGACTACGAATTCCTTGGGGGCAAAGTTTCTGTTTGACTCAACTGCGCATTCCCAAACCTTTGCACAGTGCCTGGCAACATGACAGGCAACCAATGATGTTTTTTGAACGAATGCTACAAAAAGTATTTACCTCCTGGATTAGATACAGTCTGGAATCTTCAAGGTTGACATTCGCCCTAAAAATGCGAGGGAATAGACGCAAGCACGAGCAATCTCATAGCCCAATCAGAGTACTTTGCCCTTCCTATAGGGCCTGGGAGAGCGTCGTGGGTACGCTACCTAGTAACCATCGCCGGGGGAGGGAGGTGGGAAGGGCGGAGAGCTAGCTGCTTCGTCCAATCGGGACCCCGTATTCCCGGAGCAATAGCAGCCTTGGGAGCCGCTTACCGAGCCTGGACCCCGCTTCCCATGATGCCCCGCCGCCTCGGGCTCGGCTGCTGCCGTAAAGCGGCTCGCTCGGCGCGACGCAAGTACCAGCTGCGCGCCTCTCCTGGCTCCGCGAGCGCCACCGCGCCCTCTGACCAGGGACAGCTGGTTCCGGGCCGCGCTCCCTCCCCGCCGGGGCGCCCTCCCTTCCGGGGGACCCGGTCCCCAAGGTGGTCGCGGCTACGGCATCCTCAGGCCAGGCCGCGGGGGGAGGGGGCGGCCTGGAGGCCGTGGCGGGGTCAGCACGGGCCAGCGAAAGCAGGGCCATGGAGCCCAGGGAGTCGGGGAAGGTAGGCCTGGAAGGGCCCTGGGGCCGCCCACTCCCCTCCCGTAGATCCCTGATCTGGGCGAGGCGGGCGGTACGGGCGGAGTCCTCGCAGATGAGCCAGCCTTGCAGGGAAGGACTCGCCCGCTCGCCCGCCTCTTCCTCTGCACTTGGGCGGCCGACTCCGGGCGAGTCCCGCGCAGCCTTCCGCTCCCTCCCCACGCGGCTGGCCTAGCAGCCCTCCGCCAAGCCGCCGCCCGGTTGACGCTGGGTGGGTGACCCGCTCAGTGTAGTAGTGCGAAAGTGCTTCCTATTTTCCCACACCACCACTGGCGTTTGGAAGAGGCCCAGCGTGTTTTAAGGCTTTGAGGCTGGATCGGACCCCACTGGGAGCCAGGCATAGGGATCACCGAGAGGCAGGATGAGGGCTTGGCCCTGCCTGGATCCCCCTTCCCAAGAAAGGGCTGAGAAGAAAAAGACAAGGCATCTGGCATATTTCTTGCCGATTTCTGTTTCTAGCTTATCTACTTCGTGGAGTTTCTGAGTATTGCTTAGAAGCATATTTCATAAACTTGCTTCAGGCTTTGAGCAAGAGGCTGTGAATTGGAAGAAAAGGTGGGGAAAAGTGCTTGAAGGTAGAGTTAAGTGGGTTTGACAGGATTGCTAGAGCTCGGAGTCAGTGTCAGCAAAGACGAGCGTGGTCGCACGCACTTGATTCGGAGACATTGGCAGCCTTTGGGGACCGAGATCGTTCTGGATATTATTTGATACCAGTTCTTGAGGATTGTTTCTTCTTTGGCACAAAGGGAACCTCCTCAACAAACGTTTTCGAGTGCATACTGAGTCTCTCCTTTAAAAAAAAATTGCTCATTTAATAAACATTTGTGATCCGTGATTTAAGTTGATGGAGATGCTGGAAGTACATATGAAATGACTACTTTCCTCCAGGAGCTTTCCCGCAGTTTTCACTTCAATAACGTGGACAAGCCTGGAAGGGTTGTCCAACAGACAAAAGACAGAAAAGATAGTGAGGTTATTTTGATGCTGTACTTTTTCCTGGAAAGACTGGGAAGGACTCTGGATTACAAAAGAAGTTACTCCTTGCTTAATCATCTCTTCCGTACTCCATCCTCTCCACAAGCTACCGTGATGCATTTTCCAGATGAAACAACCTATAAACAGTCCAAGACAATAAAGCTCAACAGAACCTAACCAGAGAAAGATTGAAGGTGAACTGCATGCCAGCCTCATGCTAAGCACTTTAGGGGATACCAAAAAAGTAAAGGAAATGGCTCACACCCTCAGGTAATATCCTGAGGTTTAGTTTAGACTGAACCTGAATTTGGACAGAGGGGGAGCAAAATGCAGTAGAAGAAGGGTTATACACAATTGGCACTGAAAAGTGGAATTAGTGATTTGAGGTTGATTTCAAGGTATTCTGTTCAGTTGTAGGATTTCTTAGCCTTTGGTGTGAGAAGAGTGAAATACAAATATTTGGGGAGGTGGAGGAGACATTTTATGTCCTTTTCAGGCCCAACCACTAATTGAAAACACTGGGGACTGGAAATTTCACCCTTGATTCTAATCGTGATTGTAAGGTGTCTCAAAAGGACACCCTTCCCAGGTACATCAGTTTTTTAACCTAGGGAATGAGGATGTTATCCAAGATGAAATAAAGTAATTGCAAAACAAACTAGCAGTGTAAGAGGTATTGCAGATGAGTGACGATAACTGAGGCCTGGGTGCAATAGCTGTGCTGTTCTAAAGTTCCATTCTGAATATCACTTTTTTCTCTCAAAGCTGGAAGACTGGGGGTCCACCTGAGGTAGTGGCTTGGTGTATTATTAGAATCTTCCTTAGATGCTATTTTGTGATATTTATTAACTAAAAGCAGTCTTAGCCTGTTGGATTAAGTGGGGGGTATCTTGGCTTGCCATTGGCAGAATAATGGATAGAGGACAAAGACCTTTCCCCATCACTCTAACCCATTATCCTGTTTTATTTTCTTCGCAGCCCTGTCACTATATAAAATTCTCACATTTATTTGTTTGCTGACTTCACTGTCTGCTCTATCCCCAGCTACACTAGTGGAGCAGTATCTGGCATGTAATAGGTTCTCAGTATTTTCTGAATGAATGACTCAAGATAGCATCTCATACAGGAGCCCTTTTGCTGTAGGTGTGGGTGCTGTGAAGAGCACTGCAGTCTGACACCTCATGTGCCCTCTGGGAGACTATTGTCGTTGCTGCCAAGTAGGAGTATTTACTGTGTATGTATTTATTGCCTCAACATCCCTGGTTCCTAGCCACCACTGGCACCCCACCCCCCAGTTTTATTATTGCACTTATATCACAGTTGTCTGTCACCTCCTGATGGGTTTTTCTCGTTGACAAATAGAGATAGTGTCTTTTATATCTTAGGATCTCCAAGCACACAGAAACAAGTAGAATATGTTGAATGAAAAAATGAATTAAATGCCTATGAAATATTTTCTGTATAATGTGGTGGTGGGGAAAGGGGTGGTGATGGTGAAGGGGGTTATAAAATACGACGATCAGCATAGGCTTCCTGTGGGCCAGGCACCACGAGGGGTATAAAGCCTTCCTTGCTCGGGAGAGGTAGAAGTGCTTGGGCTAGGTGGGCAGGAAGTCCCTTGCGAGAAAGAGATGGAATGTGAGTAGGAACTTGATGAGTGAGTGTGAGGAAGTAGGCAGAGCCAGGGAATGTAAAGACTGGGTGTGAAGAGGGAGGAAAGGTACAAGATAGGTTGAGTGGCTGCAATTTCATCTTTTATTTTTTTTATTTTATTTTTGGCCGCGTCGGGTGTTAGTTGCAGCACACGGAGTACCTTCATCGAGGCATGCGGGATCTTCCGTTGCGGTGCACCGGCTTCCCTCTAGTTGTGGCACGTGGGCTCCAGAGCGTGTGGGCTCTAGTTTTTGGCACACGGGCTCTCTGGTTGAGGCGCGCCAGCTCAGTAGTTGTGGCACGCTATCTTAGTTGCCCCTTGGCATCGTGGAATCTTAACGTGCCGACCAGGGATCGAACCTGCGTCCCCTGCATTGGAAAGCGGATTCTTTACCACTGGACCACCAGGGAAGTGTCCGAGTGATTGCAATTATACTAATCTGGCTGTAGTAGAGATTCCAGGTGGGGCAATACCTAGAGCTGAGGTTAGGAAGGTAAGTTAGGTTCAGATCCAGGGGACTTGGTGCTGGGCTGAGAACTCGGAGCTCTGCCTTATAGACAGTGGGAATCGGTAAAGTTGAACATCCAGAGATAGTCCTTGCTTTCTATGCAGGTAGGAAGTTCCTGTCATTCAAGCAGGTTTGTGTTTCCTTTACACTGCGGGCGTCTGGAGGCTCTTGCCGTAAATACTCGTTAAAAGAGAGGTTCAAGGCTGAGCGTACTCGTTGGGAAGACAGTTCTTCATTATCTAAACATTCAGCCCTGGCCATACTCTTCATCCCTGCGGCCCTCATAAAGTGATGGGTCTGTTGGCTTTCATTATGCCCACCTGTTCCCTCAGGAAGACAGGGTGGGTGGGAATGAATAGGGAACCCTGCTTGCCCTTGGTCACAAACTCTAACCTGCCCTGATCGGAACAGCTTGCCCTGTAGTCCTGGTATACGGTCATCCTGCTAGGATCTGCCTTCAGTATAATCTCGAGGGTTTTCTTCCCCGCTCCCCACAATGGCTCTCCTTAGGCCATATGTTGTGTGTACCTCTTTCCTGTCCACCCGCCTGCTCTTAGTGGAGCCCATCCTGCAGCAGGTTTTTGCAATTATCATCACATTTTGCTTTGGAAGACACTCGGAGAGCAAATAGTTATTTAAAATACACATTGGCCGTACAATTCCATGTTTGTTTTTAAGACTGTTCATTTATACATATTCATAGACAAAAGACTGGAAGGTTACATACCAAATGTCAATAGTAGTTGTTTTTCAGTAAGGAGATTGGGGGTGATCTTAAAACATCTTTTCTGCTTATTGTCTAAATTTTCTGCAGTAAACATATATTGACTCATAAGAAAAATACTCAACTTACTTTAAAATGTACAAATCAATAGTGACTGATAAGAATTATCTGTACTGTTTTTCTCAAGAAGCTTCTATGTTGAAGTTGATATTTCACGTGCTTTAAGTTTGAGTATAAAATTACAGGCGATTTTAAACAAATGTACTAGAACTTGTTACAAATGGAAATGACTGTGTCCCCTCCAGGGTTGTCACTTTGGAAGGACTTATACTTACTCCAAGGATGCTATTTCCCAAAATGTTATTTTGGGGGGTTCGGGGATTTCCTTTTTTTCTTCTTTTTTTTTTTTTGCAGTACGCAGGCCTCTCACTGCTGTGGCCTCTCCCGTTGCAGAGCACAGGCTCCAGCCGCTCCGCGGCGTGTGGGATCTTCCCGGACCGGGGCACGGACCCGTGTCCCCTGCATCGGCAGGCAGACTCTCTACCACTGCGCCACCGGGGAAGCCCGGGGATTTCCTTTTTGTTGATAGTTTTATTTATTTTTTTATTTCTTTGACTAGCTGATAAATGTTGGTGGTATGAAATTTAAAAGCGTAAACAGCAACAGATTCTGTTTTCCGATTGTTTCTTTTATAGCCGCTGTTTTCATGGCTGCAATACCTTACCTCTCTGAGGCTATTGATGACAGTTTTGTTTTTTAAAGGTTTTTTGCTCCATGCCCCACTTCCATTTCCTCAGTTCCTCCTCACCCTCTCTCATCTCCTGTCTGTTTTGATCTCTATCAGACCTGTTAGAGCCTTTCCTCAGATGTCTGGTAGTCCAGTTGTTTGCTGACGCTTAACAGTGGAAAAGCAGAATTCTAACTGGACGTTCTGAGCACGTGGAAGGGAGGGACTCGCCAACTTGGAGCCTGTGTAGGGGATCTGGGCAGGCATTTGTTCCGAACGGCTTCCCCCAAATTCTTATTATTTTAAGCTCACTGCGTTCACTCCCAGGCCAGAGGTTCCTGGGGCTGCCAGATCCTGAGTCTTCTGAGGATTTAGCAAATGTAAATCGGGTGGTTTCTCCATTTGCCCACTGCTGGCTGAGGGTATGATTTTCTTGGATCTGCTCAGTTATTACTTTTTCATCTGCTTTTCAGTTAACAAAATTGTATTGCTATTGTCCCCTTGTTGTGTTGTCCATCCCAGAGGGTGTTTTTTTTTTTTTAACAATTTTTAAAAACATTTATTTATTTATTTATTGGCTGCATTGGGTCTTAGTTGCGGCACGCAGGATCTTTCGCTGTGGTGTATGGGCTCTTCGTTGCGGTGCGTGGTTGTGGTGTGCAGACTCAGTAGTTGTAGCTCATGGGCTTAGTTGCTGCGCGGCATGTGGGATCTTAGCTCCCTGATCAGGGATCAAACCGGCGTTCCCTGCATTGCAAGACAGATTCTCAACCAGTGGACCACCAGGGAAGTCCTTAGAGGGTGTTTTGTTTGGAGTTTTTTTCGGGGGGAGAGTGTCTTTTTAAACTCACAGGAGGAAGCAAAATTCAGTGTACGTGTTCAATCTGCCATCTTAATCCAGAACTTCCTGAAACGTTTTCTGAATTTCCTCGCCCTTTTTTGGTGGAACAGAGAGAGCTCCTTTATAAGCCCCATGGAATACAGTTCTCAGCTCTAAAGCTTTGCCTATCTTGATAATTGACCACATTCACAGACATAGTTCTCAGTGACGGCTGACTACTTCCAGAAATCAGATACATCTTCCTAAGTGAGGATTTACCACGTTGAAGATTTTGCAAAAGAAGTGCTGTTGGTTGTTGCTGACGCACTTGCTGAGAAGTAATGGATCCCGTGCGAAGGCTGGTGAGGGGTGTGTAGGGGGACGCGTGCGAGAGTCCAGAGCTGGCCTTCGTTATGGCACTTCTGTTGCTGTGTGTGGCTGTTCCTAGAAGAATGGGTCTTATTCCCGCTGTGACTTGCACCCAGGGGGTGAGAGTAATGCGGTATAGGTCTTGTATGTGGATTGATAACGCCCCCTCCCCCAGTCTGATCTGTTCCCAGAGTAGGGGTGTCCTCAGGTGGTTGTGAGCTCAGGTGTGGAAGATTAAGGAAGAAGTTGGTGCTTAGCTGGTGTCATTTTTCCTTGCAGGCTCCTGTGACGTTTGATGACATCACGGTGTATTTGCTTCAGGAGGAGTGGATGCTGCTGAGTCAGCAACAGAAGGAGATCTGTGGTTCTGATGAGCTGGTGGCACCACTGGGTATGGGCTCCTGTTCACTTCCCCACTGCCTGAATCTAGGTCAGCATTCCCAACCATGTCTGACTATGACATACTTGAGAATTTTCTGGAATCCGCCCATTTTTTTCCAGGCATCTTTATACTATTTATCCACTCAGTCCCATATCTGACTTAACTGCACACGGACTCACACATCACCCTTTCTCTTTTCCACTTAAATTAGCCAAGAGAAGTGGGGAAATTGGGCGTGTCAAGGCTAGACCTGGATGCTTCAGAATATCCCAGCGTGCCAGAAGGGAAGCCCCACCTGTGGACTGTGGCACTGCAGGGTGGATTTTGTTTCAGTGCCCAGAGGACATTGGAGGTGGTGGGTGGTGGTGGAACGAGCATCAGATCTGCAGCCTGGAAATCTGGTCTCAGTCCCAGCTCTGCCACATGGTACTGACCAAGCCCATTAGCCTTTTCAAGCCTTGGCTTCTTTCTTCACAGGCTTGTCATAGAGATTCAATGAAATAAAACAACTTGAAACTTTGTGCCCATGTAGGTAGTTTTCATCTTTTCTATTTTCTGAATGTCCTTTCTCTGCTTCTATGGGTAGACTTCCTAGACCATGGACAGAGAGGAATGTATTTCATCATGTGTACATGCACACGTACTCTTCGGATTTCAATTTGATGACCATGCACCATGCCTTTCTCTGCTTCTTTTCTTCTTGACCCCTCAGGGTTCTGGGGGCAACAGTCTCAGCTCTCTGTGGATGGAGGGGTTGTGGTCTTACTGCCTACTAAAAATGGTTTGAAAACCAATGATTCTTTTAAACCAGAAGTTGCAAAGTAGCAGCTGTGGGCCAGATTTGGCCTACACCTTTTTTTTCTTTCTTTCTTTCATCTCTTTTCTTTGGCTTTAAAATATTTAAATAAGTTGTCAATATTTCGCCATGGGGGGGTTTTCATATAGAAATATGATTTCTGGCTTCTGTTGGAAACTGGGATGGTCTAGAGGCCATGCTGACCCTGTATTCAGCTGGCGGCCCCTCCTGGACTTGAGTAGCTACCCCATACCTGGGTTCAAATCCACAGCCTCCCACACCCTGCCTGGTTTCCTCAGAGTATTGTCTGGTCCCGCTCCGCATTTGAGTTTGAGCCTCTGTTCTGGACCAATAGTTTTCATACCTTCTTAGCCTGTGTGACCTGGATCCGACCTCACAGTGCATCTCTCTGTTCCTGACTCAGGGCCAACTATTGCCAACCCAGAGCTGTTCTATAAATTTGAGCGAGGGCCAGAGCAGTGGCTAGCCAATGTCCAGGGCCAGAGGAGTCTCTTGAGCCTCCACCGAGGTGAGTGCGGACCTGCCCCCGGGAGGAGGGGTCCTTAGCTGGAGGGAGGGAGCAGGAAGCTGGGTCCCAAGGCTCCAGTCTCATCCTCTGCCCCTCCCTGTTCCCCACCAATTACACACGAATGCTGTTCTTCCCCCAGCTGTCACCCCGTCTAAGATATACACACCTCCCCCAGTGTTGTTCTCCAAACTCTCATCTCCCTTTATTTTATTTCTACCTGAGAGTAGATGTTTACGTGTAATTATATATTCTAAGTTCCATGAAGGCATGACTTGGTCTTTCTTACTACTGTAGTCCCAGTACCAAGAACAATGCCTGGCATGTGGTTGCATAGTAGACAATCATGGAATGAATGGGTGAATAAACAGATGGCTGCTAAATCCTGGGGACTGATGTTTGCTTTTCTCCTTTGATAAGCATGTCCTGTTCAGGGATTGGCTTGCCCAGAGCCAGGCCAGATGGCCTCTGTCATTGTGTAAGATGAGCGCGTTAACCCAGCCCCTTCTACAGGAGAAAAGGGAGGTGGAACGAGTTCCCCGATGGATCGAATTGTGGACGTTTGCTCTCCCTTGTGATTTATCTCAGATGGACCACAAGGAGCCCTAGACTTCACAGATACTAATTTGTTTCGGTTTGTTTCTCCTGTGCTTGGCTCTTAACTTTGAGCCCGTTGACTCTTTACTCGTAGCTTTGTGCTTCCGGGGTTGGCTACAGTTCCGTAGACTGACTGGTCCATTGGCCGGGAGAAAGTACTGTTGAGTCCTTGCCCACTGGGCATCTGAACTTGTTGGTGCATAATAAATGGCTCCAGAGGAGTTAGAGTTGTCTAAGCTGCATTTCAACCAAGGAGTGAATAAAGAAACTGCTGGTTTAGCTTAAAGAAGAAAAGTCTTAGTGACGTCATGGGATTCTTCACTTCTTGGAAGGGTTGTGGTGTGGGAGAGGGCTGAAGTAGCACTCCTGAGGGGAAGGTACTCAAAGATGGATTGCAGCTCAAGGAAGACTCTGGGGACCAAACTGTCTGCCCGGAAGGTAGGTTGCTCTCTTGCTCTAAAGGTACATGAGCAAAGTGCAGACGCCTGTCTGGCAGGGGTACCAAGGAGGGGGGTTCCTGCCAAGTGTGCAGTGGCAGTGTTTGCTTTAATTACCTTTTTAACCCTACCTTCTCTTAGTTCAGTGTTCTTATCCATAAATAAGTCTGCTCTCCTGAAGACTGTGCCACTGTTTTAGGTTGCAGAGATCTCTTTTTTGCCAGGTATATCTGTCCTTTATATTAAAAAAAAAAAACTGTTTTCTTAAAGCCCATTTGGTTTCTTCTGGGTTAGGCAAGGTGGACCTGGGGGTTGGGGACTGGAGAGAAGAGAACACGGGTGCAGGTTGTCACTTTGTGGGTGTGGTTGCAGCTTTAATAGTCCATGGATCTAAGCACCTCTGTGAGTTGCAGTGACTTGACCTATAGGATTTCAGAGAAAATTCCATGTGTTTCTTTTTTCTAAAGGAAAAAACAAGATGGGCTTCATGGAAGAAATGGACATGCAAAGTCCTGCCAGAGAAGCTGGACTCTACCTGCCTCCTCAGAAGAAAGCCTGTCCTTCGCATTTCAGCTCAGAGGGTGGCAGCTTCCAGGGAGACTGCACAGGAAGAAGCAGAAAACCGTTGAGACCCCGGTCCATCCAGAAGGCATGGTTTGCGCAGTTCCCATGGTTGGTCATGAATGAGGAGCGGACGGCTCTCTTTTGCTCGGCTTGCCGGGAGTACCCATCCGTCAGAGACAAACGGTCAAGGTTAATAGAAGGTTACACAGGACCATTCAAGGTGGAGACTCTCAAATACCACGCCAAGAGCAAGGCCCATGTGCTCTGTGTCAAGGCCTTGGCAGCTCGGGACCCCAGCTGGGCAGCCCGTTTCCGGAGCATCCACGATGTGTCTAGAGAGGTACTGGCCAGTCCGGGACACCTCTTCACTGCAGATTATCCCATATGTTACCCTCCAGGGCCTCAGGGGATCTATGATAACATGGTCCAGCTCCTGCCCAGCTCAGGAGCTGCACTGGAGGACCCTGGAGGGAGTGGAGCAATTCCTGCATTGTTCCTAGACTGCATTCCTGATTTCAGGCAAAAACAAATTGCTGATGACATCCGCAGCTCCTCAGACGTTAACATTTTGTGTAATGACTCACCTGAACCCCGTGGCCAGGTAATATGTTTATAATGATTGCTCAAGGGGAAGGATTCTGTATACTGTTACCATAAGCTGACATGCTTGTAATGTGCTGGGTGTTGTTTAAGTGCTTTGCATGTATTAATTATCTCCTTTATTTGTGACAACAGCCCTACTCTCATCTCCTTTTGGCAGATGACAAAACATAATTAGTGGACCAGAATATTCTAACTTCTCATATAAAGAGATCACCTAAATTCAGAACAGTAATCTTTATCCAGAATCCAGAACAACCACAGAACTCAAGAAATAATCCACAGCCACAAAACAGCCACAGAGCTCTTAAATAATCAATGTAAACAAATTTTTTAACGTTAACTTCAAAATCATGTAGCACTTTTAAACACTGCAAAGTTTCTTCAGACGTGTCCTTTTATGTAGTGTTTTTAATGCTGCTATGAGGTGGGTGGAGCAAACCTAGTTAAACTCATCTTGTTGGGGAACAACTGAGACTTAGGGGGGAGTGACGTAGCCAGAGAACAAGGACTCTTGTGGCAGTGACCTCCCCTCAGAGCCCTTGACCGCCAGCCCAGTGCTTTCCTTCTGCTCCCTGCAGCACTGGTGGGCCCTCAAAGACTCTAGTTCTCACCTCAGGTTTATTTTGTAAAATAAAATAGGTTTATTTTCTAATTCTTTGGAAAATTGTCCTGCAAAGAAACTGTATTAATTGGAATCCTTGAGTAACCAGATCTGGCCCCTTTTCTCAACTCTTCCATGTAAGCGGGATTTTGCTACAAATCACTTTGAGCAACCCCTCTAGTATTCCGATGAGAAGAGCTCAGACGTTCCGCGTGCCTAACATCATACGTAAAGTTAGTAAGCTCGAATTTTTATGGAATCCAGAAAAGTGACAAAGCTCATTTCCCTTCATGTTCATGTTCCTTCTAGTTTTTAGTATTCGAAGCTAATAAACAGGTCTAACCTTTTACAATCTGAATTCCTTTAGCAGTAAAGTGTGTGTTAACCTAGTCACTGAATATGAGCATCTTTAGTTCTTTTTCACTGCTTCTTCCTTCCCATCCTGGTGGGGAACCTTAGCAGGGGCTGCTAGAGGCAGCTGGCTACCTTTGCCGTCATGGATGAGTAGAAGGTGCCCCTTGGGGCTGTAAAGGACAGGGTGCAGCCATGAGGTTCTGCAAGACCCCTGTTCCTCAGTGCATTTTCCTCTCCTTCCAGGAAAGAAGAGGAAGGATCATTCCTTCCTTCTAGAATAACACTGAGGTTCGTTTGGTTTTTACCTGCTAATTCTGGGCCACACACATTTGCTTCTTTGACTTTTGGTGGATAAATGAATTCCTCAGAGTGCATCGGGGTCTCTTCGCAGGCTTCCCAGGAGAAAAAGGCCTTGAGCAGGACCCCGGAAGGATCACGCTGGGTGTCTGACGTGAGAGGAGTATTGAGTGACTGCTACTCTTTGTTGCAGGATCCTTCTGAAGAGGGGCTGTTTGAGGAGGTTCCCGTGGTGTTTGAGGATGTGGCGGTGTATTTCACCCGGGAGGAGTGGGGCACGCTAGACAAGCAGCAGAAGGAGCTGTACAGAGACGTGATGCGGATGAATTATGAGCTGTTGGCATCCCTGGGTAAAGATCCATGTAGACCTTTGTTTGCCACCATCACTTGACGTGGGGACCCACGAGGGCAGCAGTGGCTTGTAGTCGTGTTCCCATTTCTGCCCTCTCACTGTGCATAGGCAGAGTGCTTATATCTCTGCATCTCAGAACTCTCCCTGCTTTGGGGTACTGTGCTTTATCTCCTCTTCATCCACCCACCCATCATCCATCTTCCACCAAACATTATTGAGTACCTACTACGTGCTGGATGGGCGTGAACGAGTCACGGTCTCTGCTTTCAAGGGGCTGGCAGGTTTGTGGGAGAGACAGACACTATAATAAGAAACTATGCAATAACACCAGCTCCATTAGAGATTCAGGAAAAGCGTCCTGGGGCTGCTCAAAAGAGTGACTTAATTTGGCCAGGCATCCGAAGGAGGGATAAGGGCTGTCTTTACAGAGTATGAAATATTTTAACTGAGTTGAAAGCCAGGTGCACAGGGACGGGCATCTAGACATGTCAGAGGTGGGGACAGCGTGAGCAAAGGCAGGGAGGCGAGAAAGGGCCTCCGGGAGGATTCCTGGATTCCACCCTCTACTTTGTGCTGGGGCTGCTTCATCAGGGGCCAGCATGGTGGGCGGTCTCGGCCTGGGCGTCAGTAGGTTATAGGCGCTGGAGAATGAAGAACAGCATGTGCTGTTCATTACTTTCCCAGAAGAGGCTCCTCTCCTGCATCTGCTTCTTGTTCTTGTCTTTGCCTCCTTTTTCCATCAGACACCCAGGATTTTCATGTGGCACCAAAAAGACAACTTTTCATCTTATACAGCTGTTATTTACTATTTTTTTACTAGCATATATTGTAACAGAAACCTTGCAGAACAGGCTGCTGTACATAACTTAGGAATTCTGACAGCGACCTCTATCGTGACTTCTACGGAATAGGAAATTGGGGTGTTTGTGGCTTACCTGATGTCATATCCCCAGCTTACACACTGCCCTTTCATGTGCAGCTGAGATACGGATTATTTTCTGAACATACTTGACCTATAGACTACTTGTTTTTATCACTGTTCACAATTTTTAAATGGCTCCCCAAACATTCAGAAAGGCTGTGAAAAATTGTTTCTTTTATGAGGAAAGAGGTGCTGTAATCGTGTTCTGGGCCAGGGCACTTGTACCAAGTGCACCTTCAAAGAGCATCACTACCACTGACAGCGTTTAAAAGAGAGAGAGGGACTTCCCTGGTGGTCCAGTGGTTAAGACTCCACACTTCCAATACAGGGGGCCCAGCTTTGCTCCCTGGTTGGGGAACTAGGATCACACATGCCATGAGGCACGGCCAAAAATAAATAAATGAATAAAAATAAAAATAGAGAGCGAGAGGGAAATTCGTTTTTAAGAAATACATACCCACTTAGAAGAAGTTGGTTTTCCTTTGAAGGAGTGAGCAGCAGTGACGCCCTTTGCCCTTTGGACCCCTGTGGAAAGTCATGGGGAAGGTGGTGGGTGACCAGTGGTGTAACAGTGTGTCTCCCACAACCTGGGCCTGACTTGGATTGTTCAGCCAGACAGCGGCATTTTCTTTTTAACTTCGTATGTTAGGAAGTGGGGAAATCTTAACGAACTGGGGAAATTAAGGGACAGTTCAGCCTCAGTTAAGTGTTGTTTGGATGAACAATAAGTATAACCACGGGAGGGGTAATTAATTTTGCTTGAGGGTTGAGGGCAGGAATCAGGGAAGGCTTTATAGAGGAGGGGGCTGTCCTCTTCAGTTGTCTGTGGAATTAAAATGGGTCCAGGGGTCTAGGAACGGAATTGCATGTGTGTGAGTCCTTCTCGCTACTTTAATTAGGTCTCCAGCTTTTATCCTTCAACTGTCCTCCAGTTGAGATGATTTTTCATGCTTGAGATATAAAAGCATTTTAAGGAGCCTTGAGGATAACTGGGGCCAAACGTAAATGATTTGTATGTTTAAAAATAACCTTTTAAAGGGCCTCAAGCTGATAATTGGGATGTAAAACAGTGTTGAAATATAGTGGACCTAATTATTATTTTTGCTTTGACAAGGTTTTTTTCCTCCAATATTTTATCCTCCTGTGACAAGTATTTTAAAAATAGAAAACCTAATATTATTTGGCATTATCTTTTTTTTTTGCGGTACACGGGCCTCTCACCGTTGTGGCCTCTCCCGTTGCAGAGCACAGGCTCCGGACGCGCAGGCTCAGCGGCCATGGCTCACGGGCCCAGCCTCTCTGCGGCATGTGGGATCCTCCCAGACCGGGGCACGAACCCGTGTCCCCTGCATCGGCAGGCGGACCCTCAACCACTGCGCCACCAGGGAAGCCCCTCCCATCCATTTTTTAAAATATCTTTGTTTGTTTGTTTGGTTTGGTTTGGTTTTTCAATTTCCTTCCTATTTATTTATTTATTTAGGCCGTGTTGGGTCTTAGTTGCGGCACGTGGGTCTTTCGTTGTGGCAGGCGAGCTCTTCGTTGCAGCACACAGGCTTCTCTCTAATTGTGGCGGCGCAAGCTCAGTAGTTGCAGTGCACAGGCTCTCTAGTTGTGGCACAGGGGCTCCAGAGCATGTGGGCTCAGTAGTTGCAGTGTGTGGGCTCTCTAGTCGTGGCTGCGGGCTCCAAAGTGCGTGGGCTCTGTAGTCGCGGCACACGGGCTTTCTAGTTGTGGCGCATGGGCTCAGTAGTGGCAGCTCACAGGCTCTCTAGTTGTGGTGCACGGGCTCCAGAGCACGCGGGCTCAGTAGTTGCAGTGTGTGGGCTCTCTAGTCGTGGCCGCGGGCTCCAGAGCATGTGGGCTCTGTAGTTGTGGCAAATGAGCTCTCTAGTTGTGGCATGTGGGCTCAGTAGTTGCAGCACACAGGCTCTCTAGTTGTGGCACACGGGCTCCAGAGTGCGCAGGTTCAGTAGTTGTGGTGTGTGGGCTCTCTAGTTGTGGCCACAGGCTCCAGAGCACGTGGGCTCTGTAGTTGTGGCATGCAGGCTCTCTAGTTGTGGCACGTGGGCTCAGTAGTTGAGGTGCGCGGGCTTAGTTGCCCTGCGGTACGTGGGATCTTAGTTCCCCGACCAGGGATTGAACCCACATACCCTGCATTGGAAGGTGGATTCTTAACCACTGGAACACCGGGAAAGTCCACTCCCATCCATTTTTAACGTTTATTATCTTTTAATTGAAGTACTGTGATCTGCTTCTATTGGGTGTTACAGGAAGCCTTTATGTTTTCTTTTATTCTTATGTCTGGAAATAATAATAGGCGCTTTTGCTGTTGACTGAACACCTACCAAAGGCTTTGTTGAGTGTCTTGCGTATCTGCTCTCTAATCCTTAAACCAAACCTGTAAAGCAGGTAGTAGTAGTATTTTCAGGTGAGAAAACAGCCCAATGGCTTTGAGAATCCCACCTATTTAGCTGGAAAATGGCTAAACTGAAATTCTTACTATTCCACCCACTGCATGTGCATTAGACTCAGCTAAAATTCCTGCTTCGTATATGTTTATTACCAGTTGGACTCCAGTTCTTTTAGTTTCAAGATTTGTGCTAATCATTGTTAATATTAAAATAACAATAGCACAAAGGATAATATAAGATTATTAAAAAATTCAAGCAGTATTAGAATTTTTTAGAAGTCTCTACTCCTGTCCCCAGTCCCCCTAGCAAGAGGGTTAGTAGTTTGGTCTGGCTGTCTCAGACCTTCTCTGTAGGTCACTGTTAGTGCTCTTGCCTCCGCCTCCATGAGAACAGAGGTGCAGAAAGGGGCCGATGCCCTGGGGTGAGAGGCTGTGGTTGCTTCAGCCCAGCTCACGTCAGGTCATGGGTCTCTGTGGTCCGGTGTTCATCATGCTGCATTGCGGCACATTCACGCCGTTGATTTCCTTTTGCTCTTATCATTTGAGGAAACGCAGCTAATTCTTCCGTTGCTCTTATTAGGATTTACAACTAGTAGATTTGTTCTTTTAGGTTTTATAATTTTTGTACCTGTTTTTAAAAAGACAGTCTCAATTTGATGCAGTCAAATTTAATATTAATTTGTCGGTTGTGTGGCAGTTAAATTGCATCGACTAAAGCTTTTCAACTGATGGTAGTTTCCAGGTTAGGTCCACTCACCTGTCAACAGCGTCCTTGGCTTCACCAGCTCTCTTATCAATAGGACTGAACTTGAAGAGGACAGTCATTTTGATTATGGATAAAAGAGGTTTATGTTGTTTTTAATGCTTTCCTGTGTCAACCTCTACTTTTGTGGACTTGCTTTTGCTTAGAACTATTTATCACTCTGTAGAGTTCCAACTGTTCTTTTATTTCTGTACTTTAAATTCTGGTTTCAAACTTTGGCCATATTTGGTGATGTCTCTTGCTTCCCCTGCAAAAAAAGAAAACTCAGTTATATTCCACTGTTAAGAAACTAATATTTGTCAGTAACAGAAACAGAAAAGCCAATATAGGGACTATGTGGTAACCCTCGTTTTTACTAGGAAAGGTGTCATCGTATGCTGAGTGGCAGGTCACTCACTTCAGGTGGGCAGCGTCTTTTCTCCATGTGAGGCCATCAGCTACAGCTAGACCTCACGTAGCTGGGGGAAGAAGTCATGTCACTAAGTGGAAAGCAAAACTAAGCGGGAGAGCCCTCAGTGAGATGAGCAGGAGTTAGAATGGCTCATATGATGTCTAGGAGGCCAGCTGCTGTATGGTGGGCCATATACGGCCTCCAAGTGGGGGCCGTGCTGAGCTAGAGAGAGAAGAACCAAGGCAAGGTGCCAGAGTGGCCGTCTCCAAACTGATTCGTTGGCAGGCCTGCCAACCTTGGGCTGAAGTTAGCCTGGAAGGATCAGAATCTGTCTTTGTAGGCCAAGCCATTTTTATGGGCTTTTATGGAGTGTGTGTGTGTGTGTGTGTGTGTGTGTGTGTGTGTATGTGTGGCCATGCTATAGTTATGTCTTCTTAGTCACTTTTCCATTACTAAGACATAGGAAAATCTGTTTGAAAATTCCCTTCTGTTTCACTTGTTCTGAAGAGAAC